GTGGAGATATGTTCAGTAGATAGTGAGAGCTGCTGTGGTGGAGACAGGAGGAAGAGCTGCAGGTGGCAGTTTTGTTGTAAGTGATGGACAATAGTAGAAATGATCCCCACAGCCTCCTCAGTTAGCTTGGAGATAAAGTGAGAAAGGAAAGATGGAGATGCTTTGGCAGCGGTTTGGGGGGAATAATGGACACAATGGACTAAAGATGTATACAGCTGCCAGCTGGAGGTACAGAGGAAGACCGATGGATGCAGTGAAATAATAATACTAATAATAATAATGAATGCTGTCATCCTACACAAACTCACTCACAAGCTGGCAACACTCAGCCTGCACCCCACCCTGTGACTGGGCTTCAGCCAGCATTATTACAGACACTGGCGTCCCACAGGGTTGCGTCCTCAGCCCCGTCCTCTACACCCAGTACACCCACGACTGTGTCGCCTCCAACAAAGACAGCATCATACTGAAGTTCGCGGACGACACTGCAGCGATCGGTCGCATCACTGGAGGAGATGAGGCGGCTTATAGGAGAGAGGAGGCCGGTGAGGTGTCACGGTGTGAGGACAACAACCTCACCCTAACACTGACAAGACAAAGGAGGTGAAAGTGGACACGAGGAAGAAGAGGAGGAGCCTCACCAGGCCTGTTTATCTGGGGCCTTGAAGTGGAGAGGGTGAGCAGCTTTAGGAACCTGGGCGTCTACATCAGTGAGGACTCGCCTGGACACTGAACACCCCACAGCTGGTCAAGAAGGCTCAGCAGCTGCTGTATTTACTGAGGCTGAGGAAATTTGGGATGTCGGCCTCAGCAGCTTCTACAGCTGCACTGTGGAGACCCTGACCAGCTGCATCGCTGCATGGTACAGCAGCACTACTGCTATGGAGCGCAAACGCCTGCAGAGAGTGATAACAACTGTGGAGAAGATCACCAGAACTCTGCAGAGGAGCCACCATCCAGAGTCCAGAGGAGAGCTGCCTCACAGACCCCACACACCCCCAACACTTCTGCCCTCGAGACGAAGGTTTAGAAGTCTGAAACCCAGAACATCCAGACTCACTTTCTCCTTCTTGCCCACTGCCGTCACACTCTTGAACAGCTGACCCATTCTGAACAGTAATGATTATTTTCTGCACGTCTGGTCATCTTACATTCAGCTTTAGCTCTTTTGCACACATCTGTGTCAAATCTCCATATTTTGTCTCCTTTTCTGCCTTCATCTATTTATATGTTTTATTTCTATTGTACATATTAATCAGCACCTGCGGGTGAACAGCAAAGAAAGAATTTCATTGCACAAAGAAAAACCTTTTCTCTTGTGACACATGACAATAAACACTTTGAATGTCAGGGGTAGAAGGATATCAGGGAGGTGATTCGCTGTGTGGGCCCCTAAAGAGAGCAGCCGTTTATTTTAAATACATTTAATTTGATCACTTTTCTCTATTTGAGCACTCAAAGCACTTTACACAGCTCGCCTCACTCACATCAGCACTTCTTGCGACGTATTTTCTGTCTAAATGCTGAATTTAATTGAATGTGCACACACACATTCAGCAGAGAGCAGCTTGGAGTTAGTATCTTGCTCAAGGATATTTCTCCATCTTCAGTTAGTGCAGGTGACAGTTTTCTGGGCCCTTCCCCAGATCTGTGCTTCGATCCTGTCCTGGAGGCTGCAGACAGCTCTTCAGCTCACGGCTTG